CGCGGGCCGTAGTTTGAGGACCCCTGATCTAGAGGGAGAGAGTGAGTGTGGTTTACACCGATGAAAGGGTATTTCCAGCTGTGAAGTTCTATGAAAGCAGAGAGCGATGTCTGAGTGTAGGGCAGGGTTTCTCACTATTGACATCTGGGGCCAGGTAACTCTTTGTTGTGGGGTCTGTTCTGTGCACTGCAGGATGGTTAGCAACATCCCTGGCCTCTACCCACTAAATACCAACAGCATTGCCCCCAACCAACCACTCTCTCCAGACACTGCCAAATCTCCCCTGGAGAGCAAAAGCCTCCCCCTACCTCGCCAGTCCCTCCACCCTGTTGAGTACGACTGGTACAGGGTAATGTATGAGAAAGAGCACAGGCCAGATCTGGGTTGGAATTCAGTTCTGACACTTTTTGTCTGTGGAACCTCTTTACTTGAGGGTGTTAAAAGGATTAAATAGAAGAATACAGATAGAAAGCACCTCTCAGTTCCTGGCAGACCCCAGGCACTCAACACTCATCACAACGCACAGTACACATTTATGGAGAACCTTCTACGCGTAAGGGCTCAGGGCTGGTTAGGGTGCAAAAGATTGTGGAAAAGAGTCAGCGTATCTTGAGCACTGGCATCGAGAAGTGGGTTACCGCAAGGTGAGAGAAGCCTCCTGGTTGTCTGAGATCCCCCGCCCCCCGCCCCCGCCCATGTCACAGGCAGGTGCTCTCGCCTGCTCAGGGCTCTGCCCCTGTCCTACCTCTTGTGCTCCTCCACGAAGCTGACAATCTCCTCTTTGCTGTTGGGCTTGTCTGGGATTGTCACAGGCTCGTCCATAAAGGCTTCATAGAAGTCAACCTCATTCATCTTCAGGGTCAGCTTCTTTGCCACCTTTGGGGGTGGGGGTGGAGCAGGGGATGCAGGGTTATGGTGAGAAGCAGTGTGATGGGGGAGCAGGGAAGAGGAAGGGAGTCAGACTGCCATTGTGACATTGGACAAGTGTCTTCACTTCTCTGGGCTTTGATTGGACATGAGAGGACTGGGTTAGATCATCTAAAATCTTTGGGGTGGGGGAGCCCCGAGGTAGAGGTGGGAGTGTGGTGTGCAGGGAGGGAATAGGCCCCCATAGATTCTGGGAGAGGGATTGGAGGGCTGCTGAGGAGGACGAGGGAGACCCAATATGTTCTGGGGTGGAGTACCTTGCTGTCGAAGGTGGCGAAGAAGGGGATGTACGGATGGAACTCCTCTGCGGCGTCCTCAAAAGCCTTGTAATCTGGAGGGGACGCAGAGTCAGTCTCTGGGAGAGCAGGCTGTGCAAGGTGCCCTCTCCCGTCTGTCTCCCCTAGTTCTGAGACCCCCCTCTCTAACTCTCTGAGAGTGACTAAAGCATGTGATGGGGGAGGTGGAAGGCTGGAGGTGCCCCTCTGGGAACCACCAGAGTGCCGGAGATCAGGGCAGGTGATGGAGCTGACTGTGGCGAGGAGTTAGGAGATAGAGGGGCCGTGAAGTGGGTTAAGTGTGGGGGAGCGGGAAGTCCAGGGAGGAGAACCGTGGAGTCGGAGGGTTACCCACGCTCTGAGTCCTTGCTCTTGAAGTAGCCGATGAGTTTGTTGTCATCTTCGATGTTCTCAAATGCCTGCAGCTCTCGTTCACCCTCAATGAATTCCACAGGGTCCTCTAGGACCTGGAAGAGCAGGGACATTGAAGGAAGAGAGTG